TGACTGGCTGAAAGTTACCCAGGGATTTTCGTGGCTCAGTGATAATTTAAATAAGAACCTCCCAGATCTTTGTGCAACACAATCCATATCGGCCTAATTGTCAGCTGTTAATTCGATCATAAGATCTCTTGGTTTCATAAGTAGATCTTATCAGAGAGTAACGTTTGCATAACCACATGCTTTAGTGTATAACCAGTAACCTTCCCTAATGAAAACTCTTGATTTCCTGTAAAATTTCCATTGCTTTTGAAGCTTCTGATACCAGGAACACTTAGCATTTTTGTTTTTGTTTTATCTTTAAGATTATTGCAGAGTATTCATGTTAAAGAGTACGTTTTGTTTCCCTTTTTAATGAACTTCCTCTAGTGAAAGAAATTCTAACTTGAGATCAGTCCTGATTGCTTGAAGAGTTACAGAGAGCCACATACACATTGGATAATGCCACAGATGTTATTGTTTGGTTTAAGCACTGAAAAGAAACATGTACAGAGTTCTTGCACTCTGGTCCTACTGATGTTCCTTCAGGAATTTGTCCCGCAGACCTTGGTCTCAGTGCATATAATCAACTGCCTTGGGTCCTTTTAAGGAAAAAGGTGGGGTAAAAAACTTAAAATAAATAAATCAATCTAGTAGTTCCGGACATGACTTAACGACTAAACAACAACATCGAAGTTGTCCCAACTGCAGAAGGTCTGTTGACTCAATGAGATTCATATAAGCGTTGACTCACAATTTAACAGTTGGTTCGATGTGTCTACAGTGGTGCCTTGCTAAACGATTGCCTCGTGGGAAGAAAAACCTGCAAGATGATTTATTTATTTATTTATTTTATTTATATCCCGCCTATCTAGTCGGTTAAAACCACTCTGATTGGTTTTTGCGATCACTATGGTGCCTCGCAAGACTTTTTTTCTATCACCGTGCTTCACAAGACTTTTTTTTTGAGACCCATGGTTTGCAAGACTTTTTTTTGGCACCAATGCATAGGGAACCTCGCAAGATGATTTTTTCACAATTTATTTATTTATTTATTCCATTCATACCTCGCCTATCTGGTCATATTGACCAGACGACGATTTTTGCGGAACGAATTAAAATAGTCTTGCGAGGCACAACTGTACTCTAGTTTGGATTGCCAATTAGACCATTAATTTGCTTATATGATTATTGGTTTCATAAAAAGATCCTATGCCTTTTGTATAACCGTGTACTTTGGATTATAACCAGAGAAGAAAGGGGTCTGTTTTATCACCACCCTAGGTTTTGCTATTGAAACATACAGAGAGCCAGTTTTCACAAACAGTGAGACCATGGTTCATGTTTTCTCACCCTTTGTGCTTGTCCTAACATTAAGATTAGCATTGTGGCTTTAGTCTCTAGCTGTGAGTTGGAACAATTTGACTGGGAAGTACAGTGGGATCCCCATATCCCTTGGCGATTCCTAAGCCACTTGTGGATACTGAAAACCATGGATAACAGTGAAGTTGACTAGATAGGCGGGATATAAATAAATAAACAACAACAACAACAACAATAGTAATAGTAATAGTAATAGTAATAGTAATAGTAATAGTAATAGTAATAGTAATAGTAATAGTAATAGTAATAGTAATAGTAATAGTAATAGTAATAGTAATAGTAATAGTAATAGTAATAATAATATAGCATGGTAAAAGGAAAAAACTAGAACTGGCCACTAGAGGGTGGGCTAGACATGCTATGTATTCTTCACTAATAAGTCTTCATAGCACGGTCTCTGGCTCCCTTTAGTGACCAGTTCTGGTAATGCATGTGAAAAAAATCAGGATTTTTTCCTTTTTTCTTTTAATATTTTTAATATTTTCATATAATGGATAAGTGACTCAGTGGATATTGATCCCATAGATAAGGGGGTCTTACTGTACAGGGAGCTGGACATGCATAGTCATGACCTGAATGTCTTAGAAACTCCTTCCTGTGGAGATATGTATGAATTGCTCATTGTTGGAGTTTTAAAAAATCTTCCAAAAGCACATTTATTACAAACTGCATTCGTCCTTTAAAAAACCACTTCCCCTCTGTCTGTGTGTGGCTAATATCTTATATAGAGTGAAATAGCAATCACACTTACTTACTCCATTAGGCCTACGTGCAGCTGGTTCCACAATAAATTTCAGCAGCATGGCGAGATCAAGCATGTGAAGGCCAGACCTGGTGGGGGAAATGCTCATGTGATTGCCTTTCTGTGATTGTGGAATGCAACAGGATTTGAATCTGTAGTTTGGAATTGTATATTCGTGAGTTTTGTAATGTGAGCTACCTTGCAAAAGGAATGCGTTCTGATTTTAAAAAAAAAATTAAAAATAAGCTACATAAATAAATAATCCTAACATGCGTTCAACAATTGTGAGTACTGAAAGTGCTTACATACAGGCATACCTCGGTTTACGAAATTAATGCGTCATTCGGGACGTTCTGTAATGTGTAAATTTCATAAACCAAAACACAAATTGTGCTAGGAATGGGGGCGGCGCTAGAAACCTCCAGGTGCAATGCGTCCTGGGGAAACCCTTTTTGTACATCAGAAAAAAAGAGGGAAAAAACCCAAACTGGAACATTATTTTCTATAGATTTCGGTTCAAAAACCAAAAATTATGTAAACCAAGGCGTTCATTCGTAAACTGAGGTAGCACTGTATGTTATTTTGTTATAATCCCTACAACTAACCTGAGAAGTTAGTATTATTCCTAGAGTTTAGAATATTTATTGCTTAAACTAGATTTTTCCAAAATCCAGAGACTGTGCTGGGGCAGGAGGAGGTGATTCTGGGATTCAAGTCCAAATAAGTAACTTTTCCAAGCCCTATTATCCACCATAGTGGACTGGGCAGGATTGGAAGATTTGGAGGATTGAGGCTGATAGCTAACTGAAACTGCTAGCTTGCTCCTGAGAGAACTGAAACTCACACTGAGAATTTAGCTCTGTCTCTTAGCCATTACTCCAGCTCTTAGCCATTGCAATCACAACCCTCATAGAATTTGTCAGGTTTCTTTTGAATCTATTTGAGGAAAAAGTCATGGCTAGATTCAATAACAATTTCATAGCCTTACATGTGGGAAAAGTGGCCATGATCCTGTTGTGTAACTCTGCCTGTGCAGCAGAAGTGATGTCACTTGGGCAGACAGATTTCCACCATATAGAGAGTTCCTTTTTCGGTTTTGGGGTACACAGAACTCATATGCAATTTTGTGAAGTCCCATGCACCTCGAAACTGAAAAAGGAATTCTATAATTAGCTGCAATTTGATGCTGCTGGCGACATCACTCCTGTTACATAGGCAGAGCTATGCAAAAGAATCCTGGTCAGGGACATTTTTCTGTCACTAATCGCTTGTTGGGAGGATGACCTCTGGTTCTGGTGTTGTAAACATGTTTCTTTTTCTCTTATTTATCTCCATGCATACTCGTTTCTGACCATTTCTTGGCAGACAGTTGCTTTCACTGTTGTTCTAGTATTTCATTCCTGGCTTCTTAGATGATCCCGGTGATGAAAGATGTTGTCAATTTCATGCTTTAAAGGCTTTAAAATCTCTTTCCCAACTCCTGATGGACTCTGAACAGGCTATCAAGCTTTGGTAGTATGCAAGCGAATTACTAAGATTTAAAGTAGAGGTGGTTTGGAAATGCACTAGAAGGATTTATGGATGTGTTTCACATTGTGAACAATCCTTTGGAGGTCCTATGCCTGGTTTGGCCTTCACACACATAGAGTTTTGCTTGGTCAAACGTTTTTATAGGTAGAAAGCTCGGGCCAGGCAAATGTCTGGAGTGAAGCCTATGAAACAACACCAGGGTATAATATGCAAAAGATACCTAATATTGTAGAGCAGGGGTCTCCAACCCCTGGTCCGCAGGCCAGTGCTGGTCTGTGGCCTTGATCGGACTGGGATGCAGAGACAGATCTCCCTGCCCACCCGCACGCATGGCCCTCCCATCCGCATGCATGTGTGCCCCATCCGCGAGCACCCCTGCCTCCCCACGAATGCGCCCCAGCTCATGTGCGCATGCATGCAACCATGCCTCGTCCATCCGTGCATGCATGTGAGCTCCCCCATTTGCGCATGCTCAAGCGTGTGCCTCACCCACCTGCGAGCACACCTTGCCCATCCACACATGCAGGTGAGTGTGCCCCACCCACCCGCAAGCATGTCCCTCCCACCCTTGAGCACAGGGTGTGCCCCCGTGCACACGGACTCTGCCCCCCATCTGGTCCACAGTTTGGAAAAGTTTGGGGACCACTGTTGTAGAACATACAAGAGGAAAACCAGCACCCCCATCTGGTCCACAATTTGGAAAAGGTTGGGGACCACTGCTGTAGAACATACAAGAGGAAAACCAGCAAATGGCCACCTTTTTGTTCCATGAGAATGGGAAAAAGTTACTTGTAGCAGTTGGGTAAAGAGCTTACTTGGAAATAAATATACTCGCTCCATAAGACGCACAGACTTTCCACCCCCCCGTTTTGTGGGAAAAAAGTGCGTCTTATGGTGTGAAAAATACGGTATTTTGGTCATTTGCAAGCTTGCTATACAGGGTAAAGAGCTTACTTGGAAATAAATATATTTTGGTCATTTGCAAGCTTGCTATACCCTTATCTGTTCCTGGGACAAAGAAAATCGCCCATTGTCAAGCTACTGCTGAAAGTGAATAATCTGGGATATCAATGTAGCTGAATTTATACACAAGAAAATCAAAGGGGACATTTAGAACACATGCTTAGAAAGTGACTTGTGAGGAATTAGTGGACATTCCTGTGGATCAATTGATTGTCTGTTTGAGAAAGTTTGAATCAATAATACTGTATCAACGAAAAATAAATGGAGCTTGATTTGCATGTTGGATCTGCAACTGATAATTGTTGAGGTAGTGCTTTATGGTGATCCACTGCATACTGTTTTTCTCTGCCATACATATTTTTTCTTGAGTAAAAATTTATGTGAGTTAATTTTTTTTCTGTTACAGAACAGTAGCAGCTGAAGTTCGGAAACAGATTTCAGGACAATATGGAGGATCACCACAGCTCCTCAAGAACCTTAATATTGGAGGCAATATTTCCCATCACACAACTGTAAGTATTTTTTACACAATAATACATATTTAGAAGTAACTGGCACTAGTGTTGGGAATATACAATTTCTCTTGACATTTCTGATTTTTTTTAAAAAAACAAGTTATTTTTGTTTATTTGAGCATCTAAATGCAAAATACATTTGTGCATTTATTTTATTTATACTCTCAACAGGTGAGAAAGACATTTATGTAAATTTGAGGCATCTCACTTTGCAAGTAAAAGCTTCTTTCTTTTACTCTCTTTTAAATATTTTATAACAATATACTTGTACTAAAGAAGATGGTTTTTACAAAATGTTTAACAAAAATCTACCTTTGTAGGGACTTGAGCCATGCTTTGAATATTTACCGTGTTTCCCCAAAAATAAGACAGGGTCTTATATTAATTTCTGCTCCAAAAATGCATTAGGGTTTATTTTCAGGAGATGTTTTGTTTTTTTCATGTACAACAAGGTACATTTATTGAAATACAGTCATGTCATCTTCGGGTTGCTGCACAATGTGGCACAATGGTGGAGGGCAGGGTTTCACTTAACTGGGGCTTATCTTTGGGGGTAGGGCTTATATTACGAGCATTCTGAAAAATCATAATAGGGCTTATTTGCAGTGTAGGTCTTATTTTTGGGGAAACAGCGTAGTGTAGTTGCGAATGGTGATGTAACTACAATGAACATTTTTTTGCCCAAGTACAGACACTGGACCAAAGCAGATCTATCTTGTGAATGCATAATGGAATGGGGGTGCAAGGTGGGGTTTGTTTGATTACAAAGCTTTGAGGGCTGAAGGAATGCATGTGCACACGTGCTCCTGCTTACCCACCCGCACGCACGCATGCATTCCCACTCGCACGCATGCCCACCCACCTGCCTGCACACACACACTCTTGCCCACCCACATGCACGGATTAGATAAAAAGGCCAGGCAGGCTGGATGTGGCCCGCGTGCCGTACTTTGGAGACCCCTGGTTTAAAGCATGGCAGCCAAATAACGTCTTCTGTGAATGTAAACGTAGTTATGCTTAAACAAGGAAGGTTTTTCCCCCCCTAAGGTGTGACATTTCCCTCTTCTTGGGCTCATTTCTAGGCTTTTACTGGGGCTTCATTGACTTCAAAAATACATTTTTAAGTGTATATATTGGAAATGCAGGGATAGAAAAAGTAGAAAAGCCATGGATGTGGATTTCCTTCCACATAGTCTTGGATGCTGCCTTTTAAATCACCCCTAGAGTGTTGGTAGCTTTTACAGATGTTGCTGAGTATATTTAGTGATGGGAAAAGTAGTAGAATAAGAGATGCTTGTGGAGTGGGATTCTTCAAGGAGGAGCAGTGAAGAATTCTTTAAAAAAGTAAATTATGTTTTAAATCGCTAAAACCTTAAATTATTCATTACTCATGAGTAACATGCCATGTCAGTTGTGAACAGATGGGGGTTTATTAAAATAATAGCTGTTGCTGCATGTTAACTGTAACCAGTAACGTCCAGAAGTTCTGGTTTAGCTTTTTTGCTAGTTTTTTACCACTATGAAATTGGAAAATACTACACATGGTATCAGTCTCGAGTAAAGTCCTGTGGAAATGCAGATGATTTAAGATATTAGAAACAATCTTAGGTTGTGTGGTTATGTTTACAAAGATGGGAAAATTGATCTGTGTCTTTTGGGTAGCATGAATGTATGAAATTAAAGCAAGCAGCCCATTCTTTGAACTGTTCTGCATTCCCCCCCCCAATGAAACAAGATTGGTTGTCAGTCTCAGTCTGGTGGAAAGGTACCCCTGAGGATCATTAAAAACAGCGACACGTTCAAGATAAGGGTGCTAGTTTCTAGAATGGTGGCACTGTCAGTTTGCTACCTCATTGATCCGTTGAAACATTTCCAGTGTTTTTAAACCCTTTGAGGAGATACAGAAGAAGATGGTTTCTGTACTTCTGACATTTCTTGCTGAGAGATTCAGAAAGAAACGTTAGAGCCTATGACAAGGCAAATTTAAGAGAGGTCAAAAACTGTGATGTAAAAATAGCCAAAGCTATTTCAGATTCAGGTTCACATTTTGAATTGGCCCATTTATGAACATTCCTAGTAAATGTTGTAGGACAGCTTCAAGATGGGTCTTAAGACTTAAGCCACCTTCTTGCCAACATAGAATGCTTCAAATTATGGAGAGTAGTGTTGTCAAGCTACACTTAATTCAGCAAAAGATGATGGTTTAGACATGTTGGACACCACTTTGTTTATTAAGGGAAAAAAATACCGCTTAGCTAAGCACTGGCGGTGCAATACACATACAGTAATACTTCATTGAGGCGTATGAAGTGGGCATGTCAAGTCCCCCACCCTTTTTGTTAGATTTATTACAGCAGATTAATTTTGTATTAGAAAAACTTATAATATTTGTGACTATGTGTTATATTCCTAAAGTGTGGAATTTAAATGGTTGATAGCAAGGTTGGTTCCTGCAAGCTCTAACCACTGCCAAAAGACTTAAACTTCAAGACTAGAAAAGTAAGCATCCACCATTCAAGAGTCAGAAGATTTTTACTACCTTAGTTGCACATAAATATCTATTCTAGTGACACAAAATCTGAAGGCAATCTTATTTGGGCATATGATCAGCTTATATATATGTCTAGTACATGTTTACATGTTTATATATTGTATATTACAATTTTTCTCTCCTTTTTTTTCTTTTTCCTCACTTCCATTTTTTCTTTCTTTTGGTTTGCAATTAAAAAACACAAAACGTTGGGTATTCATGCTTAATGCATACAATCTTGTGACAGAGTAATAACTTGAACCAAATTATATGATCATGCTCAGTGGTATGGTAGACTGCAAATCACTTGACAGGTAATGTAAAAGTCAGGTTGAAATTAAATAAAAGGCACTGCATTTGTTAAATCTTGTTTCATTTAAATATGGAAAGGTCAATGACTCTTACACTTTCGTTTCATTTCTAAGACATTTCTTGGAACGTTTGCCATTGCCCAGTGGGGCACTAGATTTAAAGCAAGATTTATCAAGAGGACTGGCAAGAAATCATCCTGTCTGGATACGTATCTTCTTCCAGCATCCTCAGCCCAGGTCTACCAAATATACTGGCAAATAAAATATACTTTGGTTGAAATTCCCCTGCAGGTCCTGTTACGGCCACTGGGACAGCTGGTGGCGCGATTCAGATATTTCAGACATTTTAGATTTCTGACCCCTATCCTGCTGTCCTCAAAGACTTCCCAGGACCTAAGGAATCCTAAGAGAACATAAGAACCTTTGGGGGCAGAACAAGAAACTTTTAATTACCAAAATATGGCTGCAGCTAATGATACCATTGGAGATATGTGGCATAACTTTCCGTTATGGGATTTCAGAAGCTGTCAGGTAATTACCAAAATATGGCTGCAGCTAATGACACCATTGGAGAGATGTGGCATAACTTTCCGTTACAGTATGGGATTTCGATAAAATCATTACCTGGTGAGGCTACAGGCCAGGTCCCTTTCCTTAGACCTGCTTACACCTATCAAATGGCTTCCATATACATTTGACTGTATCTACGGTTCAGTCCCTGGTATTTCTAGATAGGGCTGGAAGAATCCTTGTTGGAAATCCTGGAGAACTGTGTTATTAATGTTGACAATACTGAGCTAGAAGGATCTGACTTGGTGGTGTAAGGCAGCTTCCTAGGTTTCTAATGGAGATGCAGGCTTTGAAATCACAGTGTTTGATGGATTGTTCACATTTCAGATCTTTCTGCATTATAGGATAGGGAATTAGGACAATAGGTAAAAGCGAAATAGAAATAAAAAGTAAAAGAAGACAAAAACGTGTTGGCACCTTAAAGACTAACTTTCATGTTTTTAATGTGAGCTTTCCTGGACGAGTCCACTTCATCAGATTTGTCCACGAAAGTTTATATTAAATATATATATATAAGTTAGCATGGTCCAATGGAAAGGCAAGAGCCAATACAACTGGTTCCAGCAACGTCGCAGGAGTTAGGACAATAGGTAAAAGCAAAAAAAGAAATAAAAAGTAAAAGAAGACAAAAAACGTGTTGGCACCTTAAAGACTAACTTTCATGTTTTTAATGTGAGCTTTCCTGGACGAGTCCACTTCATCAGATTTGTCCACGAAAGTTTATATTAAATATATATATATAAGTTAGCATTTAAGGTGCCGACATGTTTTTGTCTTTTTCCCCTTTTTATTTCTATTGGAATAGGATAGTGTGAGAGCAGGGCTGGGAAATAAACGGTATTCTATGTCCCAGGAAGAGATTTTTGCTTGGCAGTAATAAGCAAATACAGTATGGGGTAAATGCCGTGGCTGCTTACTGCTAATGTGATGTCATGCAGTTGATTATAAATATTTTCTGTGGAACACCAAGATTTGCAAATAGGGTCGTCAGCTAGCTAGAAAATCTAAATAGCTGGGCTGCTTTTCTGCTTTTGACAGTGGCTGGATCTTCCAGTATTCTCAGGTGGAACTTTCTGCAGCATGGAAGTAAACACTATCAGCAGTGCAGGTATCCACATCAAATTGCTGTTAAAGACATGCTGCAGTACTTGGGTGAAAAGATGGCAAACCTTACTTGAGGACTGGTTTGAAACATAGATTGTGTTGTAGAATCTTGAAAGACTGAGTAGTAACTCAGTGGGCAACAGAGTAATTTAACATTCATTGTTGCTTTGATATATGCGCAGAAGGCAAATTGCATGATTTTTAAGTGCCTCTAATTTGTAATTAATGAGACCCCACTGGGATTCTCAAACATGGGCCAGACCAGTGGGTGGAGAATTTCAGTGGTGACTTGATTAATACCGGTTAGAAGTGACTGAATCTTATGACATTTTCCTTCCTCATGTGTAACAAAGCAACAGGATTGAGACAGTATTATTGGAATGAATAAAATGGCAGAATAAGTGAGGCTGTGTGTAACAGATGATCCCTAAACTATAGGGTTTTTTTTGTTATAAGAGGAATAATAAGATGCCTTCAGTATT